TTGTCTTCTTTTACATGTAATAATAAATAGAAATGTACAAAGATATAAAATGTACTGAAACATTATACATAAATGTACATAAATACGTTTTTTGCACGGAGTTAAATGTGTCAGTTGATTTTATACTGCGGTAAAATTATAAAATAATTTTAAATTAACAAAAATTTTAATACATGTAATAAATTTTATTGATATGAGATTCTTTTACATAAAATTGTATTTTTATTAATTACTTCTGATCGGTACACGATATAAGTATTTTTATATTAAGGTTATGTTAAATTATGTTAAATAAATACTTATTTTATTTAAAACAAGAAACAAAAGTAAAAAATAAATTTTTGATTTAATTTTTTACTTATTAAAAATACTGCAATTTATTCTTAATACGAGTAATATTATGTTTAAATATTTATGAAAATTAAGGAAGTACTTTCATATTTGTAAATTGTAAAGACAAAGGATTAAAGGTCTTCTTTATGATTAATATACATAATTATTATATTACTTTGAACGGTAATATATATATTGAGGAAAATTATAATTATAATTTTTATTGTGTTCTGGGAAATTCTATATGAATACAACAAAACTTTCAAATTACACGCAAATTTGTGCGTATATCATCTCTAAATTTCAGATTTCATAGGATAATTTATTATTAAACTATTTAAGAATTAATATTAAGAGTTAATGTCAGATAAGAATTAATTATTGTCAATATTTAAGAAGAATGGTAGCCATTTAGTATGAAGATTTTTTTCTCTAAATTATATAAAATTTTTAAGAGAGAATTTTTTTTACAATTTTTATCCTTTGAGTTCTTCTAATCCGACCTATATAAATTTAACTTGAAAAATATAGTATGTAATTTCATTGTATTTTTATTTTGTTAATGAATATAAAAAAAAAATCTTAATATAAATTAAAGTATGGGAGGTTTATCTAAAATTCTCATTTTCTTTCATTTATTTTTTTTTTTCATTTTAAGTGTGTTTAATTATGATGGTACATTAAGTGGTTAAAACGATAGTAAAAATTTATGGAGCAAAAACATATATGCAATCCACAATTCAATAATAACGTGAAAATAAATAACGTACTTTGTATTACAGGTGTTTGCATTTCTATATGTACATACAAATTACAGTTAGTTTGTAATTCTACATAAATATTATATATGTATATTGTGAAGGAATGATTCAGGCAATTAATTTCAATTGGATTTGAGTTAAGTTGTGTTTATAAAGTTTCATTTATTTTTTATTCTTGTGGTTCTTTTATTGTTGAAAAAGGACGATGCAATAATGAAAATAATTTAATGTAGAAAATTATAAAAACATGAATATTATAATAAATTTATTATGTATTTGGAACAAATACTTATGTAAGACAATAATTGTGTATACGTGCTTCTACATTTTAAAAAAAAATTTAATTTTTAACACAATATAGGAAAAGATCAGTGAAATCGAAATTTCATAGTTTTCCTAGGATTATTAATTTTATTAATTGTTTCTAATTATATAATATATATACTTCAAATATACCAGCCTGAATGAACAAACATATAGTAAAAATGGCCCAATATACTTGATCAAATATAACACTTTCTTTAAAATTTCAGAATTAAATTACTGCTTGAGCTTAAATTTTCACCTTGTAAGATTTTTTAGTAATTGCACTGTTTTGTATATTAAGTATAATACATAACGAGAAAAAATAGAGTTGACCTTGTTAACTCTGTCATACCCGTACGAATTTGCTATCCTATGTGCGAATAAATATGTCATAGTTGACTATGGGACAGACTATAATTTTAAGTTAAGATATTAATTTATGCAAAATTTCAGTACTGTGTTTTCAATATTTGCGAAGATAAAACCAAACTACTATTGAAGTTGTATGGTAGCTATCCGAACAAGTACCCCGACCATACCCAATTTCAATAAGGTTCTGGCATTTACTATAACAAACCATTTGGTGAACTTAGCTCAATTAGTTTTTGAATTTTTGCTGGGACGGACGGGCAGACAAAGCTAAATCAACTCAGAATTCGACGCTGATCAAAAACATACACTTGAGTCTATATATAAGACCGTTATTTCTTAGCATTACAAACGGTTTGAAAAGCATAACAATGTTTATTTTATTTTACAATTTTTTAAAAGAATGTATACTCGTATACGCGCACCTGGAAGCAGAATTTTATTGAAGATCTTGTAATAGTGTTAAATTTATTAAAATACAACGATAGTTATAACACTGTTTTTTCTTTATTTCAATTTAAATTTTTTTTTCCTTTTTTTTCAAACAAAAAACGCCATTTCAATTTTGTTTTTGCTTCCTTTAAATTATAAATTCAGAATAAGAAAAAACAAAAAAATAGAAAAATATAAGAAAAAATACAAAATGAAATAAAGAATTTTTTATTAGTTTTAAACGTTAGTATATATAAGTTATACGTACCGAGATAAAAAAAATATCGAGTCTCTTAACAGAATCCTACCCACCCATTATTAATTAGAATTGGTTTTTTGTTTCTTTCATTTTCTTAAATTTAAAATTGGATAATTTTTATATAATATACTACTACCCTCTCTAGTGGTACATTATTGTACCTTTGATTAATTTTACACCATTCTCTTTTAATTTCTACCATACTCTTTTTTTTTTTGTTATTACCGACCGTATTGTGTAAACAATAGGTAGGTTATGTGATGGCAACAAATTTTGCATATCGAGTTTTCGGTGGGAACGTACTTCTCCATAGTAGGGAAGTGTAAATAAACTATTTTTAGCAACCTGTCGGTCTGTCGGTCTGTCGGTCTGTCGGTCTGTCGGTCTGTCGGTCTGTCGGTCTGTGTGTGCACGCGTGTATCTCAAGTTCGGCTGAACCGATTTTGATGAAATTTTATATGTAAGTTTGTTTCCACCATGGCACGGATCGATCAGCTTTTGGTATATATCAGGCCTCGGGAACTGCACTTTTTAGCGGGCCTGTTTTACATTTTTGAACATTTTGAAGAAAATATTCAACCGATTTACTTGAAATTTTATATATAAGCTCAGCTCGACCGTCCGCAAAAATTCGTATGTTTTGGAAGAAATCAGGCATCGGCAACTAGACGTTTACTACGGGCCAAATATACATTTTTGTGTATATAAAGAGAAATAATCAACCGACTTCATTGAAATTTAATATATGAACTCCTCGTATTAAAACAATGAACATATAAATTTTTTGGAAAGATCAGGGCTCGAAAACGGATTTGCGGGCCGATTTTACATTTTTCACCATATCTACGGAACGAATCAATGGAATTTCTTGAAATTTGATATTTGAGTTCTGGTTGCTACCGAAACTAACTGGTGAGCATTTCAAGGAATTCGGGTACCACAAAGCGAAACTCTACTAAGAGCCAAATTTACGTTTTTCTAGGTATGTTAACTATAAGCTTACTAAAGTCCTAAAAATTGGAAAGAAGTATTTAACAGACATTTTTATAATATTCTGTAACACTTTCATTTAACTAGACAATACACAATGCGGTCGGTTATGTGCTGACCACATCAGATTTTTTTTAATTAAGGAAATCGAAATGTACCTAGGTATATAGAGTATTGTATGGATAGAGTGAATTGCTAAATGAACGAATGAACTATTAATGGATTCATTTAAATATATGGGAGCACCTATACCTATACATATTTGTATGTAAATAACAAGCTCTAGTAGGTGTACATCAATATAACTAAAAATCACTTGGGATATACATTTATTTACATTAGTGTGTAATAGGTATGTAAAAACAATAAATTATTATCGTTGCGTTAAATATTGTCGCTCCGTCTGGTGTACATAATATAAAATCAGTGGTGGGGAAAATGGTTTATTTTTATTATATTTTAATTTTTAACTTTAGAAAATTAAATTTTTTCCCCGCTCTTAGTCTCTTTTTTTTGCTTTAACAAATGTAATTATTATTATACTCAAGAGGAAAATTATTGTTATAGAAGAAAATATATAAATATGTATATAATATATCTATATATGTATGTAGAAATCTATGGTTCAAAAATTTTTAAATTGTTGCATATTTAATTAACAATAATAATGAGGAACACGGAAGAAATATTGTTCTGCAATTTTTCTTATTTTATTTTTACATATAGTAAATTTTAATTATTAATTTTTTAAAATGCAAGTAGGGTAAATATTTATTATACATATTTACCTGTATATATACATATTTATTATTATAAATAAAATAATTATTTTATACGAATTGAAAAAGTTTTAATTTTATAATTTATATATGTATATACATAGTTGTATGTATGTTGTGTGTGGAGAGGTTAAGTGCGTAAATATTTGATGCAAAAATTTATTTTTGTTGTTATTTTATTTTTTAAAAATGTAATATAAAATGTAATGTTCTGAAGAATGCAACATTGGAATTGCTAGAATAAATATGCCAAATATTAATAAGTACATAGGCAATTTTACATAAACTCATATATATATACATATTATATGGTATAGGTTAAATTAATCTTAAAGTTGAACATATTTTTAATCCTAACTTTAAATTTCAATTAAAATAATATTAAATTTTTAATGTAAAATTTAAATTGTAGAAAGAAATTTAGAAAATCAGGTTTCTTTAAATTTTTATTATTTATTAAAGTTATTCATGGGTTTTTGAAATTTGTCACTTGAGTCGTGGATTATTTTAAAAAAATAATAAAATAAAAATTTTCACAAGTTGCCGCTATATAAAATTTTTTTTATTATCAGCATAATTTATGTATTCCGATTTTATTACCAAACGCTTATTTTTTAGCATAGCTAAATATTTAAGTCCATTATACTTAAAATCTTGGACATAAATATTCATATACAAATATTTCCCAAATTTATATTTTAATTTTTAATAAAAAAAAGTATAAAATTAAAAATTATTAAAAAGAAGAAATATAATAATAATTATCCTTACCGTTACTTTCAGCCGAGCAATCGGAGGTGATTCTAAAGATTCTAGAATAACAGTAGCACTGTTATAATTTCCAACTAAAAGGCAGTATTGTGCAACACCACTCCATAATTCAACAATTTTACTACGGTCTCTTATACCATTACACTGTGATAAAAGTAAAATTTTTTGTTTTAAATTTCACAAAAAAAAATTTTTTTTGTATTGAGATATTTTTTTTTAATTTACATATGTACTATGTATAGCACATACATATCTACTTAACATAATATGAATAATAAAAGATCTATATGCTATACACATTTGAATATTATAAAGGAGCAAAACATAAGATATGGGACCATTTTTAGAAAGAAGGTTACTAAATTCATAAATATTTTATAATTATTATGTCAGGATTAGGATGTAAAAAATGGTCAGAAAAAATGCTTTTATGTAATTATAGAAGTTCATGCTAGGTCGAGGCCTAATTTTCGTTAACTTTATAAATTATTATTTTAAATAAATAATGAAATTCAAAGAAAACTTTTACGGAATTTTTGTAAAATTTTTTATATCTCATTTAAAGAAAAGTCGGTAAATTAGTTCTTTACTTTCTGGAGATATTGTGGTCTAAGGTGTGATGGCCTATGTTGTGCAAGTCCAATAATATGAAATTAGCAAGCAAAGTAGAAAGCATTGATGGCATTGATTTGCATAGAAGAAGCATTTCGTTTAATAACCACGCAGACCCTTGATATACTTTTTCACCTTCTTCCAATTTAAATTTATATAAATTTTTTGGATATTCAACAAGTAAGTCTATAGAGCAGAACGAACTATTTTTACTTGATCTGCCGGTATATGAGTCCATCTGTTGGCTTGTCTTTTTTCTGCACTGTTTTGAAACAGCAAAATTAGCTTTTATTTATGGATCTTAAATTTTTAACGTTTTCGAAAAATTTAATTTAAATTTTTATTTATTTTTTTTTTTTGGGGCCCAAAACCGCACTGTCACCTCCTAGTGGTAGGCCCCGGTAATGGCGGAGGATAAAGAGGTGATTGAAACGATCAAAGTAACGTTCGTGTCGTGGCGGCGAACCTCTTGCTTTGTGAGTTTCAGCCCTATATCTACACGTCAGCTGACGACAGGCGTCCCAATTCAAGGTGGAACAGCATATGCCGATAACTGCATGGCTAAGGGGGAGCTCAGTCGTTAGTATACGGACTCTGGATACGATTCGCCCTCCAGTTTAAACAAGCCTTCCCATGGCATGCCGGGCTCTGCCATGGATGGCTATACTTTCCCGCGTTACTCGTGGGAGCAAAATGGAGAATGGAATCAATAACAACAACAACAACAGCAACAACAAGAACAATAACTGTTACAAACACAACAACTGCAACAACAACAACAATACTAAGGACGACATTAATGCAAACACAGTTAGTGCTCAAGAGTCTGCGGAACCAGAGCTTCTCTCGACTGATGCAGAGGAGGAACTCCTTCTCACTCCAGTAGAGGAAAAGGCGGCGCCTCCGATGGAGATGGATAATCAGGATCCTCTTTGACCTATTATCCAACAAACTGAGGAGGACCTGAAAAGGTTGGACATCAGGGGAAAAACACAATATTTCTCTGGTGCATCAAGCGGCGTATCGCAGCTTATATCGGGGATGGCATGTCCCCAGAGGAAGCTCGCAGATATGAGAAGAAAAGGCTAGAAAAGGTGAGGGCCTGCGGGTCGGGTGTTGTGGCCAACCATCCCCAGAAGAGGGAAAGGTCAGAAAGCAACACCCCTGATGCAGGGACCTCAAAAAAGAGGTCGATGAATTGCAATGTTGAGAGAAAGGTCCCTAAGAACATTCTTCAACAAAACCCGAAAATGACTTCTTTTCGGGATGCAGTAGCACAGGTCAAGGTGGCCATCACTCATAGACTGCATCCAGAGGAATGGCTATCCGAAGTCCAGATGGGGAAAATCAAAGTAGGCATCATGGATGAAATGGATAAAGTTGTGGATTCTTATCCACAATTCACTGCATCTGACCATTGGTGCAGTGGTTATGGCACCGGTCCTTTAACCGAAGGGTCTCGGGTTCAAACCCCGGTCAGGTCACTATAAAAATTATATTCAATATTATTATAACTTAATATACAATACTAATAAATATTATACAAGTAATTTTCAAATATTCGTAATATTCCATATTAAAAAAAAACTAAGAAAAATAAACAGTAAATATTAATAACCTCAAATAATTAATATAAATAAAACTACGGCAGATTAGTCACCTACCTAGTTAAACTCTATGACGCTATGAAACTAGTGCATGAGAAATCATGCACTAGCCCTATGCTCCTTCTTGGAATGAATAAGGAAAAAAAAAAAAAAAAAAAATCCACAATTCACTGCAGCGTTGCAAAGAAAATGGATGGATATCCGTAACATGGAATAATCAATACACCAGGGAGTTGATAACAAGTGTCTGCAGGAAGATAAAGCCTTGGGATAGTTGCAACGTCGTGGCCCAAACAGCATGTCTGCGTCACCTACGTGGCAAAGGACGAGACAACCGTCAGTCTCTCCAGGGACAAATTCCTAAGCAGGATAGGGAAGCAAAATCCCAGCCTCAAGATGAGATCCTGGAGGTTGCTGAGGTTGGATAAGGAAAAGGACGGGGGCTGCTCTATCACGTTTCCCGTGGATGATTTCGGATTGGAAGATCTACGGAAAGCGGAGTTCCGACTTTTCCTGAACTTCTTCCGTGTTACATTTCGGGTTAAAGGAAGCACCTCTCAAGGTGCTGGTGGCAGGACAGGATGAAATAAAAAACCAACGCCCACCGCGACAACGACGAGCACTTCAGGCCAACCAAAAGAGTCAAAACTCATTGCAAAGTCCCAAGCCAATTGGGAATCCCGGAACTGCTTCGGTATTTGCTGTTGGAAGGGCTAGTGTAGCACCTAGGACGGCAAAAGAGGCTGTGGCAGGGCATAGACAAGAGACAAGAGCCGGAGGAAATGATTTGGCTATAAAGTGCATCCAAATAAATCTACAGCATTCCACCTCGATATCGCCCTTATCCAAGAGCCTTACATAGTGAAGGATCAGGTTAAGGGCCTAACAGGTGAGCTATTGCATGATAATGCAATTGTAGGCAGGTCTAGGGCTTGTATTTTGTTTAGTAAAAGGCTAACGTATTTTCCCATTCCAGATTACTGCTCTATGGATCAGGTAGCTGCGTTGGTGAAAGTGAAGTCTTCCGGGGGTTGGACAGAGTTTATTGTGTGCTCATCCTACCTCCCGGGAGACTGTGCCCACCCAGACGAACAACTGAAAGATTTAGTGGACTTTTGTGGAAGGAGGAACTTCCAACTGATAATAGAAAGTGATACCAATGCCTACCACACCGTCTGGGGAAGCAGTAATATAAACAAAAGAGGTGAGTGCCTACTTGAATTTATATATAGCAATAAATTAATCGTTATGAATGATAGCAATAGGCCGATATTCATAAATGCAATTAGGGAAGAGGTCCTAGACATCACCCTTTGCACTGAGTTTATCGGCAGTAGGGTTAGTGGATGGCATGTCTCAAATGAGACATCGAGCAATAGGAAGTGCCCGTGGTGAATGAATGAAGGGCTTTCAAGGCTTAGACTAAAGACCAGAAAGCTATTCAATAAGGCCAAGGCGTCGGGCTCGTGGGAAGAGTATAAAAACTGACTCACAAAATACAATAAAATAAAATACAATAAAATACAATAAATTTAGGAAAGCGAAGAGAATTTCATGGAGGGCGTTCTAAAAGGGAATTGATGAACTCTCCAGCAGTGCGCGTTTTCACAGGTTGCTTTCCAAAAAGTATGCTAGCGGGGTGGGCCTAATGGAACGGCCTGATGGCTCCATGACTGAGAACGGAAAGCAGACGTTGGAGCTTATGGCGGCAACGCACTTTCCTGACTCGGAGATTCTTCGGAATCACTCAAATGCGGTCATTGAACTGAGGGCATCCTGGCCCAGGAGGGATGACTGGCAACGATCCCCTCTGGTCTTCACGATGGGCAGGATTAGATGGGCTGCTTTCTTTTTCAGGCCCTTTAAATCTCCAGGTGATGACGGGATATATCCTGCATTTTTGCAGAGGGGTTTCCAACATATCATCAGAGCACTGTTGGAAATTTTTCGTGCCAGCTATGCGTGGGGTTACATTCCTCAGGCATGGAGGGTGGCTAAAGTGACGTATATTCAGAAGGTGGGTAAGCGACCAAGCAACCACCCAAGGTCTTTCCGTTCAATCAGCCTTACTTCTTTTCTATTGAAAGCAATGGGAAAAGTGATTGATAGATTTATACGGGACGATGCACTGGGGAGCAATCCCTTGCATGAATCTCAGTACGCCTATCAGTCGGGAAGGTCTACTGTACTCGCTCTGCAGAGTCTGGTGGGGGTCCTTGAAAACTCACTGGAAGTGCGGGAGGTGACAGTTGGATGCTTCCTTGATGAAGAGGGAGCTTTTGACAACACCCCATATCATGTCATCTGTGAGTCGTTGCACAAACGAGGTATTGATGCGACGACGAGCAGATGGGTTAAGTGGATGATTCATCGCCGCTGCAAAAGAGTGTCCGCAGGGCGGGGCTCTTTCGCCCCTCCTGTGTTCCATTGTAGTGGATGATCTAATCGCTGCTCTCAGGGGCTCCGGGGCAGTTATCACGGGGAAAATTTGAGAGCACTATTTCTGATCTTCTACAGCAAAATTTACGTGTTGTGGAAAGATGGTACGAAGGCGTTGGGTTAAATATAAATCCAAGCAAAAGCGCTTTGGTCGCCTTCACCAGACGCAGAAGCAGGGATAGATTAACGAGCCAAATTTTGTTTGGTGAACGTATTAGTTACTCTAGGGAGGTGAAGTATCTGGGGGTAACCCTGGATGATCGTCTCTCCTGGAATACTCATATAGATAGAGTTATCGATAGAGTTATGGCGGCCTTGTGGACGTGTAGGAGCTTCATCCGGGGGACCCGGGGAATTAGTCCCAGGATAGCACAGTGGCTATATACGGTCCTTGCTAGGCCTATCGTCGCCTATGCGTCGATTGTATGGTGACGTAAGGCTCAGTAGGCGGGTGTGCGGGCCAAGCTGGAAAAACTACAGAGACTGCCCTGCCTGGAAGTGACCGGGGCAATGCAGACGGCTCCTACCGCTGCATTGGAGCTGAGGATTGGTTTGCCGACACTGCACCTCCATATATTAAAAGAAGCTCGGCTAGTGACTTACCGACTTCTCTCTGGCGAGGACAGGGCAGGGCTAAAGTTGGCCCACAGGACTCACAGAGACTTCATTAAAAGCGATCCGATTCTAAGAATAACCATGTCGGATACCTGTCTGCCGCGGTACAACTTCGATCACAAGTACAGGGTTTGTTTTCCGATCGATGGACGTGGGATTGGGGTGGCCCCATACTTGAGTCGGGTTCGAGCGTGTGGTATGCGGACGGGTCCAAAACGGAGTCGGGTGTGGGTTCGGGTGTATACGGTGTCTGCCCGGACACACGTGTATATGCAACCCTTGATCCATATTGCACGTTGTTCCAGGCCGAAATACATGCAATAGAGATCTGTCTGAGAATCAATTTAGAAAGGGGGTATAGAAACCGCACCATCTATGTGTTCTCGGACAGCAGGGCTGCATCGCTGGCGCTTCGTTTAGCTCAGGTTACATCCAAGCTGGTCTGGGGTTGCCTTGCTGCACTTATGGAATTGGCATCGGAGAACAGAGTCACGCTCATTTGGGTGCCGGGCCATAGTGGCCATGTGAGCAACGAAATTGTCGATGGGCTGGCGCGAAGGGGATCTGGGACTGACTTTCTGCAGCCGCGGTCTTTCTGCGGTCTGCCTTCTTCCGCCATGGGGGCAAGGTTTGCCTGCCTGTTCGCGGCGGAATGCGGCCGTCACTGGCGGGACACGAAAGAGTGCCGTCATGCGAAGATGTTTCTTGAGGCGTGCTCCAGCGGATTCACCGCAGAGTTGCACTGGGCACTGCTTAGTGAAGTACCACCTGCATTGGCTGGGGAAGTCAGGCTCCCCCCTGTGCAGATTTTGTGGGAGTGGCGATGAAACCGTCGTGCATATTCTCTACGACTGTCCGGCACTGGCTGTTCGGCACCGCAATTGTCTTGGACATGGGTCCCTAAGTGTTCGGGAACTGTTGGCCAACTCCCTTTGGGATATCTCCGGCTTTGTTGTTCGGACGGGGATACTATAGATGGCAGCGTGGGGAGGTTACAATAAGTCAAGGATGGCTGCGGTGGCTTGGGGGGTTTCTCCTGTCCCACTCGGTTCCCTTAAAATCTACAATCTAGAATCTACTTATTTTTTTTTACTACTATTTAAATAAGTTTAATACTATTTAAATAAGTTTAATTAAAAATCTTATAAAATAGTTCCTATATACACTTAAAGACATACTAAATTTTAGGTCAAATATGTATGTCTATGTACTCGTATGTATCATAGATTTACAAAGAGATAAAAGTAAATATTTAAAAATTAAAAATTGTATCCTGTCAAGAATATGAATCAAGTCGGTATGAGTGTAATGATTACATGTAAAAAAATGGATTACAATTTATGTTTGGTATATAATAGATGTAAATTGTATGTGATATCAGAACTTAAAATGTGTACCTATTCATAAAAGCTAATATTTGTTATAAAAATGTTTGTGTTTATAGGTTCTATAGATTTTTATGCAAAAGAGGTAAATTGTTAAATATGTATAACTTGTAAATTAATGAATAAGAAAGCAAATCCGAATGTAGAAGAATATTTGTATAAAATAAGCTACCGTTTTCCACTGCACATTATTAAGATTTAAATATTCGTGTTCTTGTAAGAATTATATTTAAGCTTTTCCGAAATTGCCTGTGTCCAATATCTGGGTAAGTTTGGTAAAAATGAATGTATGACTTATAAGAATCAAGTTTATATTCTAATATTAACTTGAGATTATTTAAAACTATAAGTTTTTAAGTGTATTGGTATTACGAATAGAAATATAATAATTAAGGAAACTTAGTGAAATAACAATTAGTTAAATTTTCAAAATTTTGTTTAAAAATTCTTTTGTCTTATGCAATTTTTCTTATTAAATTAATTTATTAATATTATTTAATTGCTTCTTCTTTGAACTAAAATTTATAAATTCATAATTTCACATAAATTTTAAATAAATTCATTTTGTAAAATTGCTCTATCTATATAAGTCCTTTTTTTATATGTATATATATATATACATGATGAATAAGCAAAATATTTCAAATTTCTTAAATAAATTTATGTGATTTTTGTATTTAATTTTTTGCTTCTTTTTTCTCAAAATCTTAAATTTTGAGAAAATTTATGAATATTTAAAATTATTGTTACAAAGATATAGATGACAGGATGCTATCATAATTGTTATAAATTAATATAAAATTTTTTTTTAATAATAATAATTGAAGTGTATTGTGTAAAACATGAATAATTTCATGTCCTGTCATAATTTAAAAATAAATTTTTTAAATATTATGTAATTTTTTTTTTAAAAAGAAACTACATTGATTTGTATGTACAAAAATATGTTCTATTTAATTGATAATTATTTTATATATATATATATTTTAATTAAGAATTTTGTAAAATTTATTTTTTTTTGTAAATACATACTTTATATTTATTAAGAAAAAGAGATTTATGAAGCTATAATGTTAAAATTTTAATTACTCATTGCAAAGTTATTTGTCATGCAAAATTATTTATAGTGTTTTTTTTAGAGTTGCCAACAACTCGGACGTCGTCTAGGGGTAGTCTCGAAGGGTTAAAGAATATATTACAAAAATTTATAACAGCTATTAAAATTAGAGCAGTAAACTGTTAACAAATTTTTTCTCAATTAAAAGACCTACATAATTGCAATTTTCGTAGTTGTTGTTCGATTTATAGTTTTCGAGTAATAGCTGCTTGAACATGATATTTTGCTAGGTAAATTGATAATTAATAATTAAATTTTGAATAAATAATATTACTTTTGGTATGCGATTTATAAAATATATTTTCTGTATTATTCTCTAAGAGAGCAAAAAAAAAATAACGGTAAAAAGAAGAAAAGTTTATCACATTACGGTAAGAGGAGAAAAGCATATGTTTGTACTTTTAACGCAAAAAAGTAGTAAAATATTAATGGTATTTTCAGGAAGTTAAGGGAGATAGAGGCTAAACTAAATACAAATTTAGAAAAATATAAACTAAATTGTATTGGAAGGAACTTGCATTAATGATATAAAACTAAGAGAACCTAATTTCGACTCATGAATTTTTCTTGTTAAATTAAAACTATATAATTTTTTTTCTATTGTGACAACCATCAATTAGGCACTATTATCTTAATTGCTATGAATATATTATCTTTAGGACGTAGGAATTTTTCTAGAACTTTAAAAAATTTAATTAATTTATAATTTAAACATAGTTCTCTGAAATTATATTTTATGTTAATATATAGTAAAGCAATTAAAATATCAATTATACCAAAGTACAGACTTGAAAATTCAATCTCTTATTACCTGTTATGATATAGGCAATACAGATTATATTGTAAATTACTGTTCCAAATAAAAATTTGATTTATTTTATATAAAAATTATAATTTATAGCAAATATTTTTATAAAAGTTGTAATCATTTAAATATTATGTTGAATTCATGTACATGTGTACATGTACATAGTTTATATATGAGAAATTATTATTTAATTCTAAAAAATTTTTATATATAAAATTTTAATTTTATGATTTATTACATTTTACATGAATATAGAACTTTTAATACCATATTATGCATAATTTTTAATTTATTTAAATTCTGAAAATATTCTTGTACTTATTAAAATTCAAAAATTCTTTTATAATGTAAAAATAATTCATATATATTTAAATATTTTATATAAATTATGTAGACTTCTTTAACATATTCTTGTATAATCATTTTAAATAATTAATTATTATTCATATTTTAATTACCTTTAAAATATCATTACATACAAATAATCGTAGACGAGCTGACCAATCCAGATATGTTTCTAAATTACAAGTTTTCTTTGGATCTTGTACACCTAAAGGTCCACCTGATGTTGATGGTTGATCCCATTTGTTTTTCGCCTAAATATCAAACAATTTTTTTAAATAAAATAATTTATTTTTGAAAAATTTTTGTAATTATATTATTAATTATGAGCAAAGGAATTTGCCGGCCATATTTATCATATGTGAGGCCCATTTTGTAGTACGCATGTCAGGTATAGGCGGCTTATTGTTCTATAGATATTTTTAGGATCGAATTCGTTAAGAGGAGATTTCTCCGTTTCGCATTGCGTAGTTTAGGTTAATGCAATACTTTTATTTTGCAGTTGTATAAAGGTAGGACACTGTTATTGGACTTGCAAACATTGTTCTCTCTTAGGTTAATCGCTGACGAGGTTTCTATTCATAAACTTGTCTCGAGGAACGTTGTTTCCTCATTTTTGTTTGGAGGTGTCTTTTAGACTGTTCAAAGAACTTGAAGTTGATAGAGCTTTTCAATGTTTGTTATCACAGTACGGAATATGGCAGGAATGAGCCGATAACTAGCAAATGCATGCCGTCAATTCTAACTATAAAGGCTCTGAGGTTTTCGTTCTAGAAATTTAAATTTTGTTTAACTATCAGTTATAATGTGACAGTGGTGTTATCGTTTAACCTTTTTTTTTGTAGTTAAATTCCTGTTTTTATTTTTCCGTAAAACTTAGTCTTTAGTCTCCTACTATAATAAACTTAACTTTTATCAATTCTCTACTATCCTTTCACATCAAGTGATGTCGATTTTGGTAGGCAATCTGCTAGCCGATTTTTGTTCGTGTAAATGATGATTTTTTTATGCTTTCATGTAATATTAGATTGTATAACAATAATTAATGTTTGGTCTAAAGAATTTGTCGGATATATTCTCTTTTTTTGAAGACCTTTATTACGATAGATATGTTTATTTTTGTATTCACAATACTTAATTTACAAACAGCCTGTACGCGTTATAGCTTAATGCGGAATGCAGACAAAATATTTTTTCATTTTTGAATGAATTTCAAGAGATATTATAAAAAGAAAATAAAGAAAATGAGAAGAGTGTCTAAATTTTTGAATTCGATCAAAATTGAAAGGGAAAGCAGAACTTCTCAACAACTTAAAAAGAAAAAAATGTTTTACTCATTTACATATTATAACAATATTCAGATCAAGAGAAAAACGGAAGTTCCTAGCTATAACCGGGTCATTTTATTAATATTTAATGAATTTCAGAATTTGACTAATATTTTTAATAGACGGGCATATTGCATTTACATGAAATGACCCAAACACGAAGTCAAATTCATTTTCGAAATCACTTACACAACCTAAACACTTACAATTTTAAATATAATTATATTTCAAAAATATTAAAATTCTTTAATATTATTTTAATATTAAAAAAATATTTCTTAAGTCTAATATTTTCAACAATGTACTTGCAATAAAAAATGATACATTCACTTAAAAAGCGGATTTTAATTGAAATAAAAAAAAATTTTAACAAAATTTTTTATTGTATACACTAAATTGTTAAATTGTAGGACAAAAAACAAAAAAAAATAGTTTTATTTCTTTCATGAATTTTGATTCACTTTCATTTATTCACGCGTATGTTGGTCTTTCTCTCTCCCCCTCATTCATTCTTTTACATTTTTTATAATAAGTGTTTCTAATTTTCTTTACAATTATTTTTAATACTTATAAGCCCGGAATATTATTTTCTTCATAAAATATTCTTATATACAAAGAAGTCATTTTGTTTTGTTTTTTTTGTATGTGTTAAAATTATGTTTACAATTTATTTTATTGTACAAATTGTCAACTTAAAAGAGAAAAAAAATATTAAATAAAATATTAAAAACACTCTATGTACTTATATATATATATATATACTAGTATGTACAATGTTTTGTCCTTTCTGTAATGTTTTTACAACTTTAATAATATTTTTTTTTCCTGTATATATGCTCCATTTTTTCTCAACAAATTGTTTGCTACATATAGAAAGCAACAACAACAAGAAAAAAAAAATAAGAGAAAGAAAAAAAAAATTACGCCAAAGGGAGAAAATGTCATTGTTTAACAGTAAAAAGCTACACGTAATAGAAAGAATACAATTATTATTGCAAAAGAAAATTTTGAACGTGTAGAAAAGTCATAAGAATTTTTACTGTCATCCCTATCATAATAGTATGCTGTTGTCATTGTATTATCGGTTGTTGCCTCTAGCATTTTGTAGTTAACGTTCAATATACATACATACGAGTATATACGTTCATGTACATAATATTTCTATATATTTATATATAGAAAAATAAAAAAGATATATTTATGTCGCGACGTTTTCTATAATATTATCATCATTGTATTGTCGTTTAAAACTTGTGTTCATTACATTTATAGAAGTACTCTGTGACAATATGCTGTTGTCATTTTAAGGTTTCTCTTATATTTAAGCCTAGCAGGATGCATTTGAATTTATAAAAAAAAAAAAATAGAAAAAAAAAATTTTTTGTAAATAAAAAATTAAAAATGAAAATGTAGCCTAGAGTATTGTAAACCATGATACTAGATACTTATATAATATATTAAATGAATTCTTTAATATGAATTTTTTCTAAAGGATTTTATTATAAACTGAAGAGCAACAATGATAACAAAATAATAAAGAATAGAAAAAAGAGATGGTGTGTATAAGAGAGAGGCCAGAGAATGTATACAGCAAAAATTAAAAAATATATTATTTTTTATTTTTTTTGTATTTTTTTATTTTTAGTAATAAAAAGTTTCAGTTACTATAAAAAAAATCATAATTTCTACCTTCTGTTATTGTTTGTAAATTTTTTATTCTTTTCTTTTTTTCATTTGGCACGAAAGTATAACACAATGAACAAATATAATTATTTTTGCTATATATAGGTTTACTTTGTATTATTACAATCCTGAATTCATAAATTTTTCCTTTCAAATTAAGAAAGCATTAAAAGGACTTAACTTTGGAAACCTCTTTTTCAGTTTAATAAAAAGTTTCATCTTCTACTATCCAAGCATTAAGTTTATGACAAAAAACAAAGGGTTATCTCATATTTATGCAATTTTATTTTTATAGTATGCATTATTGGAATGGTTTTAGTGGTATATATTTACACATACACATATATAGAATAATAGTTGACACTTATTAAGTATTTTAAAGGATAATTATATACCAAAAAATTATGAAGAAGAATGTCAGTAAACTATTTAAAAAATTTAGTGAAAAAAAGTGTTATATAAGTGCTTTGCGTATTATTGTGCACATAATTTTTAATAAATGATTTTTAAAAGACAATCTAAAATTTTTATATAGAAATTTAAATACACTTTAAAATTTATGTAACAAAAATAATGCAGTATATTTTTGAGGAGAAGAGGCATTTTCGGGAATACCTTAACAATAAAATATTATTTAAAATTAATTGTTATTAATCACTTTAAATTATTTACAAACAGTAAAAAAAAGGGGACACCTTTGATCACAATAAATTAGAATTTGTGATTGATTTATGGAAAATAAATTGATTTCATGTTAATTATACTAAAAATCAGGTTCTTTTATCAATGAAGCGAAAAAAATTTATTTAAAATTAAATTGATTACTTTTAGATTCTAAATTAATTGATTTTGTTTGATTAAAATTGTACGCTTAATGAGTCGGAAAATTGTGTTTGTTTGTATTTAAAAAAAAAAATTAATGATATATTTAAACATAATAAAATTTTAAGATTTTCTTATCCTATATGACCAAAATTAATTACTTTGAACTGAGACATTGTGTTATTACGTATTTAACTTCCTTGCATACCGGTGTCCGATTTCTCTACCTTTCCTTTATTAGCCGGGTTATTTTGTAAGAGATCCTTCGTGTTTGCGGGTACTTCTCGTATAGGCACCACTTCTACTCTCTCGAAGTCGATAATTACTATATCTGACGTTGACTTCAATTCTGTTGATCGATGAACAATTAACTACAGAGTATATTATTGGTCTATGCATAAAAGTTATTTTCTAAGTCCCACCTGCTCTTTCTGTAGATATTTCTTAATTTTAGAACTAACTCATTCCTAGATATATGTTCGGCACGAAATTGTTCAATACATATTTTGAGAATCCCGCAATTTGGTATCGGACGACCTCAATATTACCGCAGCTATTTACTTACTTATACATTTAAGAGAATATGGTAAAGTAATCAATCAATCAAAAATATAAAATACTTAAAATATTAAAATATTAAAAATTAAATATTTCTTTTGTAATTTAAGCCTTTTTTTAATTGTTTGATTTTGTACGAATAATCCGCCAAACTACATATTCCGGAAATTCCATTTATTGTAATGCCTTTATAAAGCATAGAAGGACAGAAGAGAAATATTGCAATATAATAATATCTCTCTATATACTTAATAGAGAGATACTATATTATGTTAGCAGAACAGAAAATATAATAAAATTTAAGACACCGTCTTCCAATTTTTCGATATAAAAAAAAATAAATAAAAATAAGAAATTTTTTCATGAATAAATTTTGAAATATACAAAAATAAAAATTTCCGGATTTTATTCTTTTGCCTTCCCTTTAAATCTTTCATTTTAAGAAATCATTTGAAATTTTTATCAAGTTTCAATTGCATTATATAGCCATTTTCAATAATAAAGGCGCCAACTTGCAATAAATTCATAAAGTTTGAATTAAAAAAACAAAAACATAAAAGAAAAACTATGAAAATGAAGAAAAATCTTAAAAAAATTTTAAAACAAAAAATGGCAAAATAAAAAAGGATTGAATTAAATTTTGTTTTGTATACATTTTTCCTCTCATATTCTTATTACTATATAACCTTTTACTATTTCATTTATATTACATACAATTGTATATTAAAGTATTTTACTTTATGTATTACAGAATTAAGTGCATAGTAATAAAAACAAGTATCTGAATTGTTTTTAAGAAATTTAATAAGTTTATTTTTCTCTTATTTTTGTTATATACCAGAGCTGTTGAGTTTTTCTAATTT